GTGGCTGTGACAATTTCTTAAAATCAGGTTACAGTGAAGTTTGCCACACTGATTAACTCTTCTTTTCACTTGAACTTATAACCCCATTGTAGGATTATTAATTGGCCTAATTTAAACATTTCTGTATCTCAGGGAACAGGAAGATCTGAAGTGAGGGAGAGAATAAGTCAACATGCAATAATAAAATAATTTTTCTTAAAAAAAAAAAGTTCAATGGAGAATGGCCATCTAATACTGTGGACAGGGCATGCCCACTTGCAGGGTTGGAATTCTAGCCTCAGCTACACAGATGTTGGGCATGTCACCCAGCCATTCTGAGCTCATGGCCTGAGTTGTAAATGTAATGGGAATGCTGAGCCTGCCAGTGTCACAGGTTTTTGAGAGGATCCAATGTGATTGTGTGTGAAGCTCTTTGTAAATCAAGTTATCCTGCAGATGTGACCTAATGGGATTTTCAAATGATTGATTCTCTCCATTGAACTTTAAAGACTTTTCTCTTAGCCTAGGGAAGTAGAATGTAGATCAGTTAGTTTACTTTTTGGCAATGGAGGGAAGGGATTATAAATATATATGTGTGTACATATGTCTCTATATATGTTTTATCGTTTATTTCTTGCAGAAAGAGAGATTAGACCAGAGATGAAAGAGACTACTGCAAAGCTAAGCATTTCTGTGAAAGAAGCTCACGAGGAAAGTTTCATGAGGTATGGTCCTTGTGGCTTCAATAGGAGACAAATCTGTGCTGAATTTCACAGAATCTACACAGGAGAAAAACCTTATGATTGTCATCATTATGGGAAACACTTGAGTCAACAGTCATATCTTATTTACCATCAAAAAATTCATACTGTAGAGAAACCACAAGAGCGTCATGAATGTGCTAAAGCTTTTAGTGAATATTCATCCTTTATTATACATCAGAGAATTCACACTGGCCAGAAACCTTGTGAATGTAATCGATGTGAAAAGACTTTTAGAAGAAATTTTGATCTTGCTAAACATCAGAGAATACACATTGGAGAGAAACCTTATGAATGTCATCAATGTGGAAAGGCTTTCACACAGAGTTCCAACCTTACTCAACATCAGAGAATTCACACTGGAGAGAAACCTTATGAACATAATCAGTGTGGAAATGCTTTTAGATTTAAAAGTCATCTTACTGTACATCAGAGAATGCAGACTAGAGAGAAACCTTACGAATGTGATCAGTGTAGAAAAGCTTTCAAACAGAGGCCCCATTATGCCCTATATCAGAGAAGCCACATTGGAGAGAAACCTTATGACTATAATCAGTGTGGAAAAACTTTCAGATTCGGCTTCAGTCTTGCTATACATCAGAGAAGCCACACTGGAGAAAAACCTTACAAACAATTACAGCGTGGAAAGGCTTTCAGTCCAAATTCCAAACTTGCTCAATATCAGAGAATCCACACTGGGGAGAAACCTTATGAATGTCATGAGTGTGGAAAGACTTTCCAACAGAGGCCCCATTTTGCTCTACATCAAAGAAGTCACACTGAAAAGAAACCTTATGAATGTAATCAATGTGGAAAGGCTTTCAAATGCAGCACCAGTCTTGCACACTGGAGAGAAACCTTATGAATGTCATCAGTGTGGAAAGGTTTTTAGAAGAAGCTGTGATGTTACTGATCATCAGAGAATGCACACTGGAGAGAAATTTTATGAGTGTAATCAATGTGGAAAGGCTTTCAAATGCAGCACCAATCTTGCTGTACAACACTGAAGTCACACTGGAGAGAAAACTTATGGATGTGATCAATGTGGGAAGGCTTTTAGAAGAAGCTCTGATCTTGTTGTACACCAGAGAAGCCACACTAGAGAGAAAGTTTATGGGTATGTAGAATGTGGTAAAGCTTTTAATGCGCGCTCTTTCATTACTAAACATTACAGAATCCATACTAGAGAATATCTCATTAATATGATCTACATGGAAAAACATTCAGGCGAAAGTCATCCCATATTTCTCATCAGAGAATTCACAGGTGATAGAAATCTTATGCCTTTAATGAATGTGGAAATTCATACAAATGGAGTATAGAGCCTGTTAAGACATCAGAAGATTCATCTTGGTAACAAACCCTATAAGGACTCAATGTGAAAAGGCCTTCAGCCAGAGATCATCTTTTCCTTTACATCAAGGATTCATAGTGGAGAGAAGACTTATGAATGTGCTCAATGAGGTCCTGACTTTCCCTGAAAGATGGAGGTGACTAGACAACACAATATTCCCTATTGATGCAAGCCTTCACTTGGAGCTCATACATGCATCTACGTTGGAAAAATCTTGCTGGAGATAAAACTTATGGATCTAATTAAAGAAGGAAGGCCTCTTCCTCCAGCATAGACCTCATTATACATCACATATTTTATACCATGCTTGAAGCCCTGAAAATGGATTGAATTTTTCTCTGAAATTCTAAGGTTTCTAATGACTCCCCTAAAACATTCCATGGCATTCTTCTGCCATTCCCCCTTGATTGGTATTCACTTTGTCTCATGATGTTGGCTGGCACAAAAAGTCTTAGTATAAATATTTTGGTGTTTGTTGGACATTTATTTTTGTAATGATGTTTTAGATTACTTGGTAGCACAATGGATAGAGGAGTGTCCCTGAGTCAATTCAAATTCAGTCTGTGATGTTTACTGGCTGTGTGATTCTGGATCAGTTACTTAACCTATTCTTGGGTGAATTTCTTCATCTATAGAATGGGAATAATAATAGCACCTATCGGCCATGGCTGATGAGAAGATCAAATGTGACAGTATCTGTCAAGTGCTTTGCAAACATTAACTCGCTATGTAAATTGAACTACTTGTAACTTCACTATCATTATTATTATTATTTTTCCCTGGATAGCAATGTCAGTGGCCTAAAAGTTCTGGATAGTTTAGTCACTTTTTATTTTTATTCAAATCAACATTCAGAAGAGTGTAGTAGTGAAAACAATGTGTTGTGATGGATAGGGAGAAGGATTTAGGGAAGACTTGTCTTCAAATCTCATTTCAGATGCTTTTTCGCTGTGTAACTCTGAGTGAGGAATAATCTCTCTGTGCCTCTGTTTATTCATCTCTAAAAAGGGCAGGTTGTATCAGATTGGCTAATATGATAGAAAAACAAAATGACAAATGTTGGAGATTGGGAAAATTGGGACACTAATGCGTCATTGGTGGGTACATTGCTGGTGATTCAACTATTCTGTAGAGCACTTTGGAAGTATGTCCAAAAAGCAGTGAAAACTGTCCGTGCCCTTTGATCCAACAATACCGCTACTAGGTCTCTATCCCAAGGAGATGATAAAAAGGGAAAAGGACCTACATGTATAAAAGCATTTATAGCAGCTCTTTTTGAAGTGGCAAAGAATTGGAAATTGAGGGAATGCCCATTTATTGGAGAATGGCTGAACCAGTTGTGGTATATGAATGTAATGGAATACTATTTTGCTGTAAGAAATGATGAAAAATCTGTGAAGATTTACATGAACTGATACAAAGTGATTTCAGAAAAACCTATGAAGACTTACATGAACTGACATGAAGTGAATTCAGCAGAACTAAGAGAGTGTAGACCAGGATTAGCTCCAAATGGATACATGTCTGAGATATGATAATGAGGAAAATCAGGGAAATGATAATGAAGATTCATTTTGTCATTATGAAGGGGGGAAAAGTGCATCCCCAGAATAGGGGTGGAGAAGAGCATATGGAATAAAATGGGAAATTTTTATCACGTGAAGAAACTGATGTATCTGAAATGTAAAAGGGAAGCCATTAAATGGGGAAATGATTTGCAGTAAGGTTCTGCAATAAAGGTCTCATTTCCAAGTATTTAAAGAATGGATCCAGATATAAAAATGAGCCATTCCCCACTAGATCTCTGCTCAAAAGGTGTGAATAGATAGTTTTCTGAGGAAGAAATCCAAGTTTTCAGTGACGATATTTTTAAAAATGGTTCACATCTGTAACCACTAATCCACATCACTAATAATTAGAAAGATTTTCACATTGGTAGAGGTGATAAGAAAAAGACAATCACCAATATTAGAGGGAATTCCCAAATGGTTATTGAGGGACAGAGTCCCCGCATTGTCCTTGTCAAAGGAAAAATGATATGTCTCTTCTTACACTCCGAGTCCTTCATTTCTATCAGGACATAGATAACATATTCCATCTTTTGTCCTCTGCAGACATGGTTGGTCATTGCATTGATCTGAGTTCTTAACTCTTTCAAACTTATTTTTCATTACAATATTGATTTTATTTGTAAAATGTTCTGGTTCTGCTCACTTCTCTTTATAGTAGTTGATATAAGCCTTCCCAGGTTCTTTTCCAACCCTTACCATCATCATTTCTTATAGCAAAACTTCTTTCATCTCATTCATGGAAATGACAAATATTTGGGAGAATGTATTTTCCTTAGCTTCAGAAGTCTGGGGAAAATTAAGTAAGGGGGGGGGGAATGAATGTAAATTCAAAAATTAAATTAAAAAGAAAACCAAGCCAAAACATGTATGTTCAAATCCATTAATAATTTGTAGGCACCTTAATTAATTCGCTGTTGAGGAGCTTGTGAAGCTCCCAAAGTGACCAACATAAGGAAGACCAGAAGGACTCAGGACACATTGGAAAGTGCCATATTGAATTTTTTGATATCTCAAAAAGAAAATCAAGCCATAAATAATAGAAATTATTTCAGGGGGAATCCTCCTTTTCTGATCATAGGTGTGTATGTGTGCAAAAGTATATATATAACTTGGTTGTTGTCCTTCATTCTCAAAGAGGACCAAAATGACATCACTGTGTTAGAGTTCAGTTACAGTGTGTCTGACTGGCTGATGGGATCAATATGAACTTGGAATGCTCTACCACAGGTCAGGCACAAATAGGCTATGTGAATGTTTGAGGGTGGATTCTCTAAGTTTGCCTATCTTGTGTTTCTCTTGAGCTATTTCAATTCTGCTTTGCTCATAGAGCACAACACCTTCTCTGATGAGGGCATGCATTGTTGGGCAGATCTGTGCCAGTGTCTCCCATGTCACACATTCAATTCCAAAGCTCTTAATCCTGAGCCATCTCTAGTCTTGATGGATATCTGGCCACTGGACCCAGATGGCTCTGGAGGAGAAAGTGAGGCTGGTGACTTTGCACAGCCCTCCCTTACTCAAATCAAAGTCAATTGCAAATCATGTCATCCCCTCCTTGATGTCATGGTCCTCTTTAAGAATGAAGGACAAACCACGACCACAAGAGAGACCTTGAGAGTGTCCTTGTACCACTTTTTCTGACTACCATGTCAGCAGTTGCCCTGTGTGAGTTCTCCATAAAAGTCTTTTTGGCAAGTGTAAGTTTGGCATTCAAACAACATGGCCGGCTCATTGGAATTGCACTCTCTGCAGTAGTATTAGAATACCTGGAAGTTTAGTTTGAGAAAGGACCTCAGTGTGTGGTATCTTATCCTGCCAGGTGATCTTCAGAATCTTCCTAAGACAATTCAGACGCAAGAGATTCAATTTCCTGGCTTGGTGCTCGTATACTGCCCAGGTTTCTTAGGCTTGCAACAATGAGGTCAGCACAATGGCTCTGTAGCCCTTCAGTTTAGTAGGTACCTCTTCTCTCCCATACTTTCCTTCAGAGTCTCCTGAACACTGACCTAGCTCCAGCAACGTGTGTGTCAATTTCATTATCAATATGTACATCCCTGAAAAGTATCCTGCCAAGGTAAGTGAACTTATCAACAGTATTCAAAACATCTCCCTTTGTTCTAATCAATGGTTCCACATATGGATGGTATAGTGCTGGCTGATGGAGCACCTGTGTTTTCTTGGCATTAATTGTTATGCCAAAATTAGCACCGGCAACAGGGAATCAATCCATACTTTGTTGCCAATTTCAGAGGCTGCATTGAGTGCACAATCATCTGACAAAAAAAAAATGTGCCTACACTCCCTGCACTTTAGTCTTGGCTTGTAGCCTTTTCTAGTTGAAGAATTTACCTTCAGTGCAGGTGATCTGAATGTCATGTTTGTCCTCAGTGAAGGCATTTGACAACATGGCTGGAAATATCATGCTAAAAAGCATGCGAGCAAGCATACAGTTTTGTTTTACTCCATTGGTTACTGGGAAAGTGTAAGGGCATCATCCAGAACACAGGTAAGCATGCTGAAGTGAAATCAACATACAAGATTGATGAACTTCTATGGGCAACCAAATTTTGACATAATTTTCCCTAAGCCCTCATGACTGACAGTATCAAAGGCCTTGGTCAGATCTACAAATGTTGCATACAGACTTCTTTTCTGCTCCTGACATTTTTCCTGGGGTTGTTGGGCAGCAAATACCATATAGACCATTACTCTCAGCCTTTGCTGGAGCCACACCGGCTCTCAGGTAGTTGTGATCTTCCAGGTGAAGGATCCAGGAGGAGTTTGGCAAGAATCGTGACAGCAGTGACAAAGAGAGAGAACTCCCTGTGATTTTCACAGGAAAATCTATTTCCTTTATCTCTATAGAGATGAACAATGGAGGTGTCCTTGAACTCCTAGGAGATAACCTCTTCTTGCCATATAACCCAGAAAGTTTCAGTC